AAAATTTTATGAGCAGCAGTGTCGTAGAGACGGGGTCAACGTGACCCTTTTTTAAAAATATTTTCTACGCCACTGCTAATTTTGTCAAACGGGCACTATTTTCGTGTAAAGTGTTCAATTGTCTATCGAATTGGTCTCTTGCAAAATTTGGATTAAAGCAACCATTTTTAAGAGAAACACCTTTGTAGAAAATTTGTAAATCCAATTTTATTTTCATTCATTTTAGTTTCGCATAGTAGGCTTGTGCTATTCAAAATAAAATTAAACATCGCCTGTCACTAATGTCAATGTGTACAAGTGAGTTAAGTAAACTAGATTATAAGCTTCTTTTTGTCATTTTTACGCTTTAATTTTACAGAAACTTTAACGCCCTGTATCTCGTTAAGGAGGCATTTGCGACCCTATGTTTATTAAGACTTTTCGTCTTAATTTTTCAGGTATTACTTACCCTAGAAGTCTGTCAGCGGTTTTTTGAATCACCCTGTCGATGATCTTTCTAAAAATACTATAATATCAGGGAGTTCCATTTAAAATAAGAAAGTTAGTATCGACTTCCAATATAACCAGAAGTACGATGACCTTGAAAATATTTTAGCTTGGTAGGCCCCACACCATCACAATTTCAAAAAAATCCTTCGAGTGATTTCCCACATATCCAACGATGGAGTTCATGGTGGGACACCCTATATATATATTTTTTTAAATCATTTCATACAAAAAATAAAAAAATACTGGTAAAAGTTTTTTTGACACATTATTTCCTTTATGCTTTGAAGTCAAAGAAAATTTACCAAAACTTCCGTTTTTTTTTTAGTATTTCAGTATTTTTTTCTAAAACAGAGCAATATCAGAGAAATTGACTTGAAAACAATATTTTCAGGTCCTATTGTGCGACAGCTAGTTTTGGACAATTCGTTAAATGGAGAGATGGCAGCACATATTATGGCAGCTGTATTAAACGCTTTGACGTTACACGGTCAACATGAGGCGAATCAGGGGCTGCTGCTCACACTAGGAGCCCAGATTTATGAACTTCTGAGGCCCTCATTTCTGGAAGTTTTGACCATAATGCAACAGATACCGGGAGTAAACCCCGTAGATTTGCAGAAGTTGGACGAGAGAATTTCGGGGGGTACCAGTAAAGGGAACAAGATCGAGAAAGTCAAGAAGGACCTTTTTAAGAAATTGACAGGAAATGTGAGCCCGGTAATAACATTTTTTCAGTGTAAAATTAACATATAAACCCTTTTTAGCTCATCGGAAGAAGTGTCGGCCAGTTATTCAAGAAGGAAGTTAAAATCCACGACCTGCCCCGAATAGTGATACCGAAGAAGGCAGATCAGAATGTGGTAATTACTGACTTAAGGAACGTCTTTAGTTAGTAATTTGGCTAAATATTTGTTATTTATCGTGTAATTAATTATTAATTGTAATATCGTGAAATTTGTACAACATTCCTTGTTGTCCAATTCAGCCTGACTGGTAAACACAATGCATTAAAAAATAAATTTTTAATTAAATGCATTATTTTGTATATATTTGTTAGATATATTTTTTATTTAATTATCATTTTTGTTTGATTATTAAGTTAATAAAGACCCATACTTGATTTTTTTAGTTTAATTTTATTTTGACGGGTATTTGCCACTAACTAAAACAAAAAAGTAAAATGAGGCTCTTGCGTCATAACAGATTTCTTGTCTACCTTTAATGATTACTATAATTGAGTTTCAAAATATTAAGCAGTTACTTATCCTTAACAGATCCCTGGGACCAATAAGGTGTGCAGGGAATGTGATTCCATGGGTGTATCATTTCAGTGTTACAAAAACTGTCTTAAATATGGAACAACCAATAAATATGTTGATTTTAGTAAAACCTAGATTACCCTTATAAATTTACACTTGCATACCTTGTATCTGTGGTACAACGTTCATTTTCTATTTTTCTTAGGAGTTGAACCTCTAATGCTTCCAAGCTGGCAAATACACTTTAGTTTACTTGCAACTTGTTCTTGTCTTAGGATGATGGTCAGGCGTTGAGTGAAGTCGACAAATTAGATTTTGAATAGGACTTTGGAAAGATCGTTAAATATTTGTGACGATTTGTGTTTTTAGTACTCATTAAGAATCTGGATAGGTTTGGTATGATAAAAATTTGAATACTGATCAGGGTTTTGGAAAGACCCTGTGTAATAATTTTATGTTGAACTTATGACGCTTACAAGGTACACTTCAGAAATGATAAAATTATAGTGACCTGTACAATATTCAAGTAATTCATCCTAAAAATGTAGGTCGCCACAATCGCTCTAGTGGCTTTCCCTTGTATGTAGTAAATAGTCTATAATGGTTCTTTTGTGTATGTTTATAGCCGATTTTTAAAGACTCGAATGACCACCGATTGTAAATTAACATAACATTTCGACAAATTGTTTTTTATACTTATGACACCTTGTTTTTTTTACCATAACAGAAGATTTATCTTATTTGTTATTCAACATATTTGAAATTGGCACAGATTTCTATATAACTTAGAAGTCTGTGGAAATAGGTCATTAGACCATTGAACAATGATTTGGACAAAAGCGTATACTGTTTATACTATTCGTATTTGTTTTACACACTTGGTCACTTTGGTGAGCGCGCGCCATTATTCTATGGCTAGAAATTGGCCTCAATGATTTGGGATCGAGGGGGATTATCCCTCTTTATCCTGCCTCATCTCGTGTAGGCCTGGACAGCCTTCGTAGGTGGGCCCCATCCGTCGTCTACCCCGACCGCAAATGCGGCCGGTGTAGGCGCTTTGTGGGACCTCCTTTTGTCCTGGCTGGGCCCCGCCGGCTAGGGCCCTTTCTTCTGGCGCTCTTCTTGCTTCGCCGGCTCGTCTGTGTAAACCCCGGGGGTAGTGTCATGTTTATGTGTGGTATGGTTGGGTAGGGTAGTGCGGCTATGCAGCCTGGGATGCGCTTTGCTAAGGTGGCCCTTAGGCTAGCGCGGGAGGGGAGGGTTAAGGAGGGTATGGGGGTGTGTGTGTGTGTGTGTGTGTGTGTCGTTGTCTTCGTTTCTTGATCCTGGCTGTCTCTGAAACAGAAAAGGTTAGCGGGGAGGGGGGGGGTCATTGGGGTGGTCACCCAGGGTCAAAAAGTTGGTGTCTAGGTCTTTTGTGTTTGTCGGTCACGTCGGGTACGTAGTCAACGGCTTGCCTGAGGAGGGGATTGTCATGTCTAGCGGCTACGTCAAATCGTTTCTCCGCGTTTTGTCTTATTGTCTGTGTAGCGTTTGTGTATTGTAAGTCTCGTAATATGTCAGTGTTTCTTACGTACCAGGGCGCGTCGGTGGCCGTGCGGAGGGCTATGTTTTCCACAGCCTGTAATGACTTTAAGTGGCTTTTTGCCGCGTGACCCCACGCCGTGGAGGCGTAGGTTAGCTGCGGTTGAAGTACCACCTTGATAAGCGTTCGCTTATTCCTTAAACTGAGGGTGTTTCCACCTTTGAGTAAGGGATAGAGCCTAGCCCTGGTGGTCTTCGCTCGCGCCACCGTCTCCACGATGTGCGGTTTCCACGTGAGACGCTGGTCCATCGTCACGCCCAGGTATCGTGTTTGTCGATTCCAGGAGATAGGTTCCTGGGATAGTGTCAGTCTGTCGAGGTTTTGTGGGATTTTTCGTTTGGTAAAAAGGATAGCCGAACTTTTGTTGGGATTAATTTTGACTTTCCACCTGTTGCACCAGGTTTCAAGTTGGTCTAAGGAGTTTTGGAGGAGGGAGACGGAATATCTAGGATCTACGGATTGGGATGTGATTGTCAGGTCGTCGGCGTATAAGTATATGTTGGTGTTGGGGGGATGTGGGATGTCGGAGTTGTAAATGGTGTATAAGTGTGGGGACAGGACGGTGCCCTGGGGGACACCGGCCTCCATGGGACGGGTGGTGGAAAGGGAATCTTGGATTTGGATGCGGAATTTACGGTGGTGTAGGTAGGATTTTATGAGTTTGGTAAAGGATATGGGATATTGGTCGGTGAGCATTTTCATCAGTAGGCCTTCATGCCAAACCGTATTGAAGGCCTTTGCGAATTTACAGACAGAGCTGGCAGAAGTCTGTGGAGCTAGCCCTAGCGGACAATTAACAAACCTGCTTGGTAGGTTCCAGTTCAAGACTGAAATTCCAGAATATTCGTCCATTCTGTGTATTCTAATATCAGTGGTTTTGACAAGAAGCGGCATTTTCGTAATTTTTAGGTTATTTTTCTTGCTTAGGTCCTGATATTAATAATTTATTTCATATACTGACAATATGTTGCCGGACACAACACTGGATATATTAGAGACGACAAGGAAAGTGTTTAGCGAACCCGATTTTACAACAGATTTATCAGAACATGGTCAAATCGTACAAATTCAGTTTTCACCATTTGAATGGTCACAAGATTTAATACTAATAGGATTTGAAAGGAAAATATTACTGGCTCGTTTGGATTTATCTGTAAGAGTATATAATTGTAATTTTCCCATATCATTTTATATTCCTTTTAGGATAACATTGATGTCAAGATTCTCACAGAATTTGTTCATCCGTGTAGATGTACGACCCTTAGTTTTTCTCCAGAAACTTCATTAACTGGACTCCCCAGTCAACTTATATTTGCCGCAGGTGGAACTGACTTCAAATTACGCATCTATAGTAGTGATCTTCTTGAAAATAATACTTGTAAGGTAAATTAAACACAATTTTTTTGTTTTTATAAATATTCTTATTGTGTATTTTAAGGTATTGAGTAGCCATACAAGTTATATAAATGATTCTGTGTTTGATGCTGAAAATAACTACCTGGCTTCCACGAGCGATGATAATACGGTTAAAGTATGGGTTACAGATGCTCTCAAATTGAAATCAACATTTAATTTATCTTCTCCAGGTTTGTGTTTATACAGTTTTAATATATTAATTGTTTATTATTATTATTATCAACAGTATATAAATTGAATTTTGTTTAAACTTCTAGGTATCAGTGTTTGTTGGCATAGATCTGATAGCTTCAAGTTATTGGTAGCTGAAAAAATTGGGATTATAAGATTTTATAATGTGGATACCGAAGTTCCTATTTTATCTTTGGATCATTGCAAACCCTTGTCCAGTTGTCACTGGGCACCTTCAGACAGAGATCTCGTTGCTTCCCTTCAACTTGGTGAACTTCTTATTTGGGAACTCACAAAGCCTTGGTAAAAATGTATTATTTTTTTCTAAGATCATGTTAAAAACTTACCATTTTCGAAAAAAATCCAAAAAACCTCAAAGTTTGACCTTTGACCCCAAATAACTTTTTTAGCACGCATGGGATCGATGGGGACTTTTGATACTTTATTTCTAATGGTGTACCCAAGGTCTTCACTAAAATTTAGCTCTGTCGGAATTTTCGTTATTTGACCACTATTTTTATGACTAATTTGACCAGACTAGTCTAAAATATTATTTTAAGTTCATTTTTTAATCCCCTTTAATTTTCATATCTAAATGTTTTATTCATATAAGCAATAAGTATATACAAACTACTAACACTAATATATCTGCTCAAATGAAATAATTAATAATTTTTTTCTTTTAGTTTACCCTTGCATAACAATATTCTCTTTCCTGAAAATGGCGGAAATCTAAAATTTTCACCTCAAGGTGAACTGATTGCAGCAGTGAATAGTTTAGACGGTTCACTGAAAATAGTTCACATAAAAAGCCAGGCTGTGAAACTGACTTCTGGCATTACTTTACCAACAAATGTTTGTTGGCACTACCGATATCCTCTAGTTTGTATTGGAGATGACACTAAACTGTGTTTTTGGAAAGTTTCTGCCAAATAAGAATAATAAGATAATGATACTATGGAGATTGAATTTTATAATAAAAGTTTCGTTTGTATAACACGTTTGTGATGATTATTGTCGAAAAATTAAAATTTATATTATATGGTGGTGACACCATGTTATTATTATTTTAGGTCATCGAATGCACTGGTATGGTTACTTTTTTTGTATGAGTGCTCTTGGTTAATGAAAAATTGAGAAAAAGGTGTTGAAAACTTAAAGATCGATAAAAAAGTAATTTGATTTTTCATGACAAAAATTGATTTATGAAGAATTTATATAAAATTGTGTTTGAAAATTTGTAATTTTCTGATTTTTTTTTTATTTAATACATTACCATTCTATCCAGGCTGTTACAAATTCGCTTCTCACTACAGGGATCTCGGAAACGGTAAGAGCTACGAAGTAGCTTAAATGGGGGCAAAGTTGAGTCATCATGGGACCAACATTATGCCTCTAAAAAATTAATATTAACATGATTAGTTTTCGAAATATTTGAAAAAAACGAAATTGTTCAGAATGTAGTAGTGCACCGTGATATTCCTAATTCAATTATCGTTGTTTAATTATGATGGTTGTTGTCAATCATTTTTTCCACATGTATCATCAATAAAGTAGAAATATATATTTAAGAAATAATTGGTTATTAATACAAAGGGTCGGTGATAATCCATCAAACAGAGATCATTGGGGTCTCAACATTGGTCCAATCGAGCAGGATTTGTGATTAGCGTGGTTTGGTAAACATTTGGCCCTTACATTGAGACGAATAAGTGTGGTAATATTCGAGCGGCATCGCAGGAAAAGGAATTGGAGACGTTGGACAGTAGCAGCGACGCCGGCAGACCTCTGGATATATTGTGGCAGATTATAGGAGAGTAGTAGTAACCATACCACATAGCAGTAATCGTGAAGCCAGGTAGCAGTCGCACGTAGAAGGCCAGAGGAGTACAAATTGAGGGTAAAAGGCTGGTTGATTTGTGTTAGTTGGAAAAGTTGGTAAACTATTTAAATTAATACTTTATTATCTCAACTGGTTATTGTTTAGTCTTATCAAAATGACGGAAGATTTAAAAATATTGGTTAGAAAGAGAGGATCTATTAAAGCACGCCTTACTCTTTTTAAAAATTATTTGGAAGGTATTGTTCAACAATTATCTACAAGTCAAGCTAATGTTGTTGATGTAAATACTTTAATCGAATTGGAATCGTGTGGTAATAGTTTAAATAACTAGATGGATTTGACAGTGTCTAACGACACTTACAGTGTACGATAATTCAATAAACAAAGAAATCTAAATAAAAAATTTCGATAAATTTGGAACAAATACACAGAAGATGAATTTTTCGAGAAAAAACGTCTGAATCTGGTTCGTTCTGAGGCAGTACAATATTGGGGGTCATTAAGGCTTGCAAAAAATGTAATAAAATTTCAAGGGTCATATTTAAAAAAATGAAGTTGATGATGATCCTGGAGAGACGAAACGTTACATATAAAAATTGAATATGCCATTCGATAAAGGACAAAAAGTGGCCATGAGAAAGTGTTCTTCTTTTTTCAATATCACCTCAAACAAGGCTGAAATGAAACAAAAACGGATTTTCAAAATTTCGGTTTTCTTCAAATATTTCGAAAACTAATCATGTTAGCTTTGATTTTTTAGAGGCATAATGTTGGATGTTGGTCCCCTGATTACGCAACTGTGCCCCCATTTAAGCTACTTCGTACCTCTTACCATTTCCGAGATCCCTGTAATGAGAACCGAATTTGTAATAGCCTGTATACTTAATACAATTCTCACAAAACAAAACATACACATTTTAATATTTGGCGTGTCCCGTTTTTACTCATCACCTTGTATGTATCAAATTAATTTTGTAGTTTAGGTTTCTTGATTCTGTATAACTTTTATATAAACTTTTTTTCTGTATTATTCTGTAAGGGAGTTATTTTACTTTCTTACACTAATGGCACACCCTGTATATCTAGTGACATTACAAATAGATAGGATACAGCGCAATCTATACACAAAACGTGTAATTAACGCCAGTGAATGACTAGCTGTTACAGTTGGCTACCTGCTAAGGAATTATCTGGTAGTTCAGTGTACTATCTGATCGAAAGATGGCAGGTCATGACAAAGAAATCGAATATCTTTGAAACTGGAGGAGCTAGAGTGGAACAAAATGAATTTTTATATTGATCAGGGCCCATACAGTGTACATCATTTTATTTCACTTTTTTCTGAGCCATGGAAATACATATTTGCCAAAAATCGAGGAATATGTCACAAAAATGCCAGTAATTACTATTACTATTATTACGAAATCAAACTGTTTATTTGAAAATTGAAAAAAATTAGTAAAAAATTGAAATTTAATAATAAAAACTGATTTAGAATTTCAATTTTCTTAACTCTCTTAATTAATATAATCCCAAATAATTTAAATAAGAATGTCATGCGTCGCCATCTATATGCAAGCAGCTCAACTAACTTACCAGCTAATTTGTATATTTACAGTTGGCTACCTACTTGGAAATTCTCCCGTAACTCAGTACAGTTTATGGTTGATAGATGACACGACATGAAAATTAGTAGAGTTCCTCTTCACTTATTTACAAAGTGATTGGAATGATACACAATATTTCTAATAGCACGAAATTTATCAAAAAAATTAAATATCCTTTCTAAAGGATGTATCGGAAGCAAGCTGGATCGCTGAAACGCCATAAATGGACGGTTATCGTGCATCCACTAAGGAAAAAAGTCGAAAATCTCGAAAACTAGGGGAGCTAGACAGAAATTGAATGCAGTTTTGGATTGATCAGGGCTGTTATAATAGCCCGACCGATGTTTACAGATTTTTCTAAACTTCTTGAAAAAATCGATAGTCCATAAAAATTGACAAAAAATTAAAGTGCCCTTTTAAAGGTATAAAACTGGCGTCATTGAACACGTTGAGATGGAAAAAAAACGGAAACCTAGAAAATTGGAGGAGCTAGAAAGAAACTGAATGCTGTTTTGGATTGATCAGGGCTGTCCACCGGAATTTTACCATCTAGTTGTTAAAATTTTGGTCAAAACATAATTGAAATCATACAGTTACCGATCCTCGTGAAGGAGAATAATCGTGGGACGTTACGTAGGTAATTAATTCCTGTCCGTGGGTGTTTATGATGGTGTATTTTTAATTTGTGGCTTTTTAATAAATAACGTCTACGCCTATGTCCCGCGGCTCAGTTTTGACAGCCCTACTTATAAGTTGAACAAATGTTTAGGTCATAAGATGAAAATTGCTTCTTTATATATTGGCGAGATTTATAAATGTGGCATTTATTAAAACTGAATTACTGCTTTATTAAATTATTGAAAAATATAAATATGTATACGATATTCACAGATGTACAATTTATAAATTAATATAAGTTTCTATCACATTTTAGTTATTATTATTATTATCATTAAATTATTTCTTGTTAGACACCCCTGTACAATTACAAACAATTTCATGTAGGACATTTAAATTTTCTACATAATACTGTGGTTTATACTCCTCAGGATGGTCCCAATTTGACAAGTGGTCCTTGTTGGTGATGCCTGTTAGAACCAACAATTTCTGATAGCCACATTTCGTTGCGAAATTTAAATCTTCGGTTATGCTAAAAAAATATCCAGCTTATATTATTTAGAAAAGGATCCCGCACAATCTTTATGGAAAGTGGCTTTCGGTGAATTTTATTTGAAACTTTGCCATTTGACAGTTCTGATCGCGTGGATCAAAAGTCTCAATGGGTACAAAGTCTGAAAGTCCTTTATTTTGGACCTACGGCCCCAGAAAGTTAAACTTTTTTCTCCTTAGTAGTCTTTCCGAAGTCAGTTGAACATGTAAAAAAACGCCTGGCAATAAAATTTAATAAATTTCATAGGCGTCCCTAAAAAAGTTTTCTGATAAAGGTAAAAAATTATAATAATTTGTATACGAGTATAATGTGCAGAAAACAACATATTTTAATTATTTATGTTCTCAAGCAATTTTATTTTATTGATGGTAAATTTCGTTTTAAAAGGTCTCCGAAATGCCATGTTGTAATAATATTAGTAAACATAATATCCCTCTAATTTATCCTTTTCGCAATGAATTGTAATATGAATGAATAATATAAGGTGCCTATAATAAATTACCTGAATCACACCAAATTCCGCATTGCTGCATTGCACTGCTGGGCAATTTGTCGACCACTTATCAAAGGCTGAGATTTATTGACCAGTAGCCCAATGCAACTTTATTTGTATTTCGTTTACCCGCACTCGCATTCTTCATCTGGGCGTATACATTTCTACCACCTCCACATTTAGTTCGACCAGACCTGTATATGGATATGGCTAAATAAATATGGGAACAAGTTTTTCAAATATTTGAATGCCGAGTTGCTGCGTCAGCGACCGAACCTGGTACATACTGTCATCTTCTTGGTTCTTCAATTGATATCGGAAAGACTATAAGAATACAGTAATTATTCTTTTTTTGTAAAATTACAAATTTAAAATTATTCTTAGTAAATGGACCTTGCCCGATCGATTAGATATGTTTTCAATGTCCAGTTCCGACCGGAACAAAAAAGAATCACTGCTGTATTCTTCCTATGCAGCGTAAGGGGAAAAATCAACTTTTAGTTTGATCCAGTTTGAGACTTGATCCAGACGATCAGAAGTATCACATAGCAATGTTTAATAAAAATAGCCGAAAACCACTTTCCACAAGGAGTCCTTTAGAAAGTTACTATTACAAGTACACGCTCTAAGAAAACAGGAGACAACAGAATTCGATATTAGTGTATTATTTGGTACAAGGGTTTAGTTTGTAGTATTAGCCAAAATTACGCGACATCGAATCAACAGCATTTGGTAACGGTCATTATCCGCATTCCAAGAATTCTTTTAGCTCGATTCTTAAGGCGCTCAAACTTACAAAAATAATTTTTATAACACTTACGAATCTCCTATAAATAAAACTCGTGTTGGATCTGAGATCCTGTACCTTTTTACAATATAATCGTTATAATGAAGACTTGGTTTTGCTATTTGATACGGTTCTCTGCCAGAAAGATCGATCAATGGTTTCATATAGTAATGTGGTCCTAAAAATGGGTGTAGATAATGTAATCTATACTTACGTCTGTGATAATTAATTGCGACAACACTACCTAGTAGTTTCAGGTTTGTTAGTTACTATGAATTTTAGGTCAATCTTATAGAAAACCAATCATACTGAGGGTGCAGTAAATGCACATTGTTTCGAAAAATTCCTTGGTATCTTCAAAAAGTAATGCTTATGATTTTTAGTTTAAGATTTACAAAACAAACCATAATTATTGTAGATTGTAGAGCTCTGAAGATGTTATAATAAAATAATGACACGTGGATGATTTTATGAATTGTTCTTTTTCCAAAAGACTGATTTAAAATCCATACCATAACTACAAAACCTTAAGTATTAAGTGACCTTAATACGTCACTAAACCTTTTTACATTAAAATCTGCACTTAACTTACCTATTAAATGATTTTTAAGTCCAAAAGGTATTCTAGCATCACCACCTCCTGTTATAAATAAACAATCCTCCCTTCTCAAATATGTAACAGCTTTTTGAAGTTTTATGTAGTTTACATTCAAATCGAATTCCACTAGTACTGCACCAATGGTTCCGTCGTCATTTACTTGAGAAAGTAAGCTGGGTATCGACTCTTCTATCACTTGTGGCTGAAAATTTATATTAGAACTGTTATTCTCTTTTAGACATTTTTTGAATGTTTCACTGTCCTAGGTATTTTCATTAAAAGTAAAAGTTTGTCTTTATTTCCTGTTGGTATGTAACAAAAATGTAAAAATACTTACTCCTTCTACCACAGTTAAACCTTCGTCTCTTAACAAATCTTTCATGGAATTTGATGCGATAACGTACAGTGGTTTACTGAACTCAATTTCTTTTAGATGTGACAATATGGCTATGATCGGTGTTACTATGTCTCCATTTTGGGCGTCAAATCCACAGGAATTTAGTTTCTCTTTAACTACATCTATAGAATTTGTGGAATTGTTTGAAACAAAATGTATCAGTTTCCCATTTTTTTTCAGAATATTCATACATTCACTTGCCCCTGGAATGGGTTTGTACTGCAACCACATCACTCCTAAAAATTGTAAAAGTTATAAGGACGTAAGCCTTAATTTACACTTACAATTAGTAGAGACACAAAACAGTTATTTTTGTATCTAGAACGCGAAATGGTACTTTTGCGTTCAAATATGGAAGTTATTTTGCCGAGCTTAGCGAGAACGCAAACGCATTTCGCATTCGAGATGCAAACTGCAATAAAATAAGACATTTGTGTTATACCAACACAGGGTGTGTTGTACAGGGTGTTCCAAAAAGGTTGTGCCGAACTTCAGGATTTTAGAGGGGACATTGTGATGAAAAACTTTTGCATAGGGACCCCTAGTCAAAAATGAGCCGTTTCGGCTCCAGAGTCATATTGATAACAAAAAATAACAAAGTTTCAAAATGACGACCCTCATCTTCGTTAGATAAATTGGTCCTTCGAAGATCAACAAAAATTAATGTTAAATAAAAAATAATAAAAAAAGAATCGCCAATATCAGATTAGCCATTTGCGAGAAAATTAGTTTATGGTACATGTGATATATGCAAGCAGGTACGTACCAGCTTATGTTGAAAACTCCGTTGAAAATGAAATTACATAGTAATTCTTATACAGGGTTGGAAAGTACCGATGGTCCATCTGCCGTTACGTGAGAGCGATAAAGTAAGTCATAGAAATCCGTGCGATAGAGAAAGATGGCTATAATGAAGGCGTCTAATAGTCACCGCCCATTTCGCCCTTCCACAAATAAGATCCACTTCTTATTTGTGGAAAGGCGAAACGGGCGGTGACCATGAGACGCCTTCATTATAGCCATCCTTCTCTATCGCATGGATTTATATGTCTTACTTTATCGCTCTCACGTAACGGCAGATGGACCATCGGTACTTTCCGAACCTGTAGACTCTGTGTTAACCTCTGGT